TGCCCGGAGCTCCCTCCCCACGTCGGGCAAAATGCTTCCAGCTCAGCGTGAGTACACGCCTAGTCACTGGCAGGCTCCCAACAGCCTACACTAAACATGTGGGTCCTAACCCCAAAACGTACTCACATTTTACTCCAATGTCCCCAAACTGCAGGCTTTTAATGTGCAAATACAGTATTGGCGCGCCCAGTGAACTCCCCTTGCTCTCCATGGGCAAGCCTGCCGGCAGAGAACAAAGTTGATATTTAAATTAACTAGTACGTCACTCAGTCAGTTTCCTCTGCTCTCCAGCAGGTGAAGTCGGAGCTCTCCAAGCTCGCTCACTTACCTTTCTCGTATCAGCTTCATGCCCAGGGTGTACAAAGGCACAAACCGTGATCTCCTCAATATATGTTCCATTCTATATGCATCCGAAGAAGTGGGCTGTAGTCCACGAAAGCTTATGCTCTAATAAATTTGTTAGTCTCTAAGGTGCCACAAGTACTCCTGTTCTTCTTTTTGCATACAGACTAACACGGCTGCTACTCTGAAACCTAGCAGAAGAAGATCACTTATTCACTTGGCTTAGGAATCGAGGACTGTGCTGCTGCTCTGACGGGATGTACTTCCATACGTGGGATATTATTGCAAAGATACAATTAGAATTTCTGTTAGACAATTTTAAGGGCAAATTATATTTGGTAAAAATCGTATTTAGTGAAAGAAATGCTGTAGTGGCAGCATGGTTACTGGGGCTACAAAACACTTTCCTTCCTGCGTGAAACAATGTTAGAATTAGAACATTACATAGTTTGTTCCAGTGTTGGTACAGGTTTAATTTCGCTTATGTGTAGGTTTGTTTAAGGGTGACTGTTTGGGTTTATTGGTTTCGTTTGTTTTAGTTGAAGTGGAGCTTTTAATTTACGTTTGCTGGATTGGAATGTCTGACATGCAATACCGATTTTGACATAATTCTGCATATTTTTACACAGATTTGGCCAGTATTCGAATTGCTTTAAGGCTTTATAGGTGGTTTTAATAGTAGAGCTTATTTATTTTATGTTATTTTATCATCCTGCTGCAGCACACTTTTGATAAAATGTGGGAATTATTAATTTATGGAATTAGAAATGTTTTAAAATAGTTTTTCTTAATGTTTGGATTTTAAATTAAACATTGTTTGCTGCTTCACATTTTGATTTAGGTTTAGGTTTCTCATGGGATATTTAAGAGGATTTTGGAGTTAATGCTAATTTTTGGACAGATTTAAATTATTTAGATGGACTTGGAGTAAATCCTGTTTACTATTTTATTTTAATAATGGCTATATTACTGTAAACCCTGACCGCGGGAGAGGATATAAGACCATAAGAACGGCCATACTGGGTCAGACCAAAGTTCCATTTAGCCCAGTATCCTGTCTTCCAAGAGCGGCCAGTGCCATGTGCCCCAGAAAGAATGACCAGAACAGGTAATCATCAAGTGATCCATCCCCTGTCACCCATTCCCAGCTTCTGGCAAACAGAGGCTAGGGACACCATCACTGCCCATCCTGGCTAATAGCCATTGATGGACCTATCCTCCATGAATGTATCTAGTTCTTTTTTAATCATGATATTGTGTTGGCATTCACAACATCCTTTGGCAAGGAGTTCCACAGGTTGACTGTGCATTGTGTGAAAATACCCTTCCTTTTGTTTGTTTTAAACCTGCTGTCTATTAATTTCATTTTGTGACCTCTAGTTCCTGTGTTATGAGAAGGAGTAAATAACAGTTCCCTGTGTACTTTCTCCACACAAATCATAATTTTATAGACCTCAATCATATCCCCCACCTTAGTTGTCTCTTTTCCAAGGTGAAAAGTCCCAATCTTATTAATCTCTCCTCATATGGAAGCTGTTCCATATTTTTGTTGCCCTTTTCTGAACCTTTTCCAATTCCAATATAACTTTTTTGAGATGGGGCAACCACATCTGCAAGCAGTATTCAAGATGTGGGCGTACCAGGTATTTATATAGATGCAGTATGATATTTTCTGTCTTATTATCTATCCCTTTCTTAATGATTCCCAACATTCTGTTTGCTTTTTTGACTGGGGACTGCTGCTACACACTGAGTGCATGTTTTCAGAGAACTATCCACAATGATTCCAAGATCTCTTTCTTGAGTGGTAACAGCTAATTTAGACCTCATCATTTTATATATTTAGTTGGGATTATGTTTTTCAGTGTGCATTACCTGGCATTATTTTGCAATGCAAAGAGAAGAGATGAGCCTGGCCTTTAACTGAGAAGGAGCAGATGCATGCCCCCCTTGAGGGGTGGTGCCAGGTGATGAGGGGGAGGGGTGCAACCCCCCCCCAATTTTTTGTGTGTAGCCCACCTCAGTCCTCCCACCAAATGGGAAGAGACAGGTGCCACTCCTGCTGGCTACCAAGTGTCACTGCTGCTGCATAGGAAACACACTCTGAACATTACCCCAACTGGCCACTGAGTGTCACTGCTGCACCAAGGGAAACATGCTCTGTGCATTACCCCGACTGGCAGGAACACACATTGTGCATTACCCTTACTGGGCACAAGGTATCACTTCTGCTCCAAGGCAGACACACTCTGTGCATTACCCTTGGGCCGTCAGTGCCTTGCGGGGGTAGCTGCAGGGCTGGAGGAGGTAGCGCTGGACGGCTTCTGCGTTTGCTCTGGCCGAGATTTCCCTGAGGGGCGCGGTGACAAGGAATTTGGTGCATAGATCCACTTCTCTTTCCTGCCTCTGTTTCCTCCAGGTCTCATTTGGGCTCTGTGTGAAGGCAGTGCACTTTCTGGTCCTTCCTCCCACGACCAGCCCTGCTAGTGCCCGGCAAATCCAACCCACAGCCCCTGCTAGCCCAGCCCTTGCCCCCCCCGACCTCTTCCAGTGCCCAGCAAATCCAACCTGTAGCCCCCTGCTAGCCCAGCCCTTGCCCCCCCCGCCCCCGTCCAGTGCCCAGCAAACCCGACCCGCAGCCCCCTGCTAGCCCTGCCCTTGCCCCCCCGACCTCTTCTAGTGCCCAGCAAATCCAACCTGTAGCCCCCTGCTAGCCCAGCCCTTGCCCCCGCCCCCAATCTCTTCCAGCTCTGCAAGTGCCACTCTATCCAGGCCACCAGTGGTCACTGCCCCCAGTGGGAAGAGGTTATTCTAGTGTCTCTCACTGTGCGGTCAGCACCTCCTACTGGAAGCACGGGTGTCTCCTGCTCCTCCAACCTTTGCCTAAGGGTGGCACTGCCCGTTCAGGGCGCAGCCTGTCATGGCACCCTCTGCTGCCAGCCTGCTGCCTTATGGGATGCAGCCCAGGACCTAGCAGTCATTTGCCCGAGTATATGCTGTAATAGGGTCTCAAGCAGTAACCCCAACCCTCCCCTTCTTATCACCCTCTGCACCAGCAGCTGCTCAGCTGCATCTGCTCTGGTTGGGGGCTCGCCCTGCCCCTGCCTTTCACCTGCGCTGATTGTGTGCCACGGGGGACTGTGGGCACCTGTTTTCATAATCACAGCATGGGCCCTGTGTGCTGTGAGCTCAATTGGCTCCAGCTCCTGTTGCACCCCTGGCGCTCCATGGTGGCGCCAAAAAGGCCATTGGGGCAGCAGAGAAACAGGAACTAGGAAGCAGCAGCGTCTTGGCCAGCACTGGCCCGTTTTGCTGGGGGGGGGGCAATAGGGCTTGCACTGCCTGTCTGAGGGCTGGTTCTCACGGAAGGCCACGCTAAGAGCCCTTCCCAAAACAATTTAGGAGATGATCCTATAACTGACCCATGCTTCAAGGACCCACCCCCCGCCGAGCATCGGGTCGTGTTTCTGCAGCAGAGAAGGCGCCTGAGCCCCAAGCAGCTCACCAAGCCCTGCACCCCTTCAATAATGCCCTGCCCCCGGGCCCCGCATTTCATTCCCCAGCAGGGTTTTCGCTCTCTCACACCCGCACCTGCACATGCACACACTCCCACCTCCACCCCCCCACACACTAACCCTACCCGCACATGCACACCCACACACCTCCACCCCCCCACACACATACACCACACGCACATGCACACCCACACACACACATACCTACACCCTCCCACACATACACCCACACACCCACACATGCACACACTCCCACCTACACTCCCCCCACCACACACACCTCCACCCCTCCTACCTCCACACACACCTACATCCCCCCACCCCCACACACATACACTCCCCACACACATACACCCCCACCACGCATATATGCACCCCCACCCTCACACGCATACATCCCCACACACACACCTCTGCACCCGCACACACCCGCCCCACACACACACCTACTCCTCCTCACACACATACCCCCCACACACACACCTCCACCCCCTCCCACCTCCACACACACCTACATCCCCCACACCCTCACACACATACACCCACCCACACCTGCACCCGCACATGCACATGCACACACCCGTCCCCTCGCACAGACCTACACCCCCTCACACATACACAGCGCTATGTTTTGGTTTCACCAGCTCTCTCTTTTCCAGCGTTAGTTCCATTAAAAGTTCTTGCTTGCTTTTCTCTGGAAACATAACCAGGATTTAAAAGGCAGTCATGACAATCCAGCAAAGCACCCCAATATTCATCAAGATCCCAGGCTACACTGTGCTGATCTGTCCAGTTAGCGCCTTGTGACTCCAATGGAGCAATGTGTGTGTGGGGGGGGGGGCTCATGCACCAACCTCAGGTGCAGTCAGTGGGGTTACAGAATGAGCATCAAAAGAAAATTCCAGCCCATATTCCAACAGTTGCTGGACTTTGGAGCTCTCTGGCAGAAGCAAAACCCCACTGCAGCCATTGACCTTTTCCACATCCCCTAGTGCGGGGGGGGGGAGTGGCTGTAATACCACCCAGGGCCAGCAGGGGACATATCTTGGCCTTTTCCGGACCACTCCTCCAATTGTGGTACTTTTCAAAGAGCAGCAATTGTGGCCCCAGGAGGCGAAGGAAGAGTCTGGAGCGCAGGCAGCGTTAAGGAGTTTATCTTTTAATGTCAATAAATAAGCAGCTAGAACAGTCTCTTCATTTCCTCCTCTGGGAGCTGCACATTGGCCTGACAAAATGTTTCCGTCTGTTCAGTTATTTTTTGCATTAAAAAAAAACCCACCCGGTGAGTGAAGAGGTCACTAGGTGTGAGCTGGTAACACAGCGAATGGGCTGGGTGCCCAGCAAGGAAATGGGGGGAAGGCGGGATGGGCAGGGGCCACTAGGAAAGACTAGCAGCTCAAAATGTACAGAAGCAAAGTAGCTAGAAGGCCGGGAGGAGGGCAGGCAGTTTGCAAGGGGGAGCTTCCCCCCATTCTCCAAACGCAGCAGGCAAACCCCCATGATGTCCACCCCACCCGGCTGGGGGGGAGAGGGAGGGCTGCTTGCAGCCTTTGGTGGAGGGGAGCAGCTGTTAAATAAGAGGGGGTGGCCGAGGCTCTTGGGGAGGTGAGGGGGCACCGAGGGGTTCTTCACTGTTGGGGTGAAGATGCAGTTTCTCTAGTGGCCAGAGGTGTCACTTCTTCCTCCTCTTCGGGTCTTCTAAACCCACTGTGGGGAGAGATGGGACACGTGAGACAAGGCGGGGGTGGGAGGTCCTCAGGGCCGGGCCAGTGCCCAACCCCAGGTGGCAGGGTTTGTGCCCCAATGGCAGGATGGCCTCCAAGGTCTGGTCTCCAGCCCTTGCCCCACCAGTCGAAAAGGTCCAGAATGACCTGCAGTCTGGCCCTCAGCATCACCCTCTCGTGGCTCGCTGCCCACGCCCCCAGGCAGCACTCGAGCAGAGCGGTCTCTCTCTGGGACAGGACAGGGGCTGACTGGTGCTAACGCCCAGGGAGACACTAAGTGGGAGAAACCACATCCACTTCCCTAGTTAACCAGCAGCTGCTCGGCAGGGATCTCAGCAGTGCCAGGAGCTGCTGTCTCCAGGCCCTACCCTCGCCCCGCAGAGCAGCTAGGGTGACCAGACGTCCTGATATTTAACTCTTTGTCCCACATCCCGATCGATGTCCCTGTACTGTAGGGTTGCCAGGCCTCCGGTTGGTGCGGCGCTGGCAGGCTCCCTACCTGGCTCCACGCAGCTCCCCAGAAGCGGCGAAATCTTCCTCTGGCTCCTAGGCACAGGGACAGCCGGGGGGCTCTGTGTCCTGCCCCCGCCATGAGCACCGTCTCCACAGCTCCCATTGGCCAGGAACCATGGCCAATGGGAGCTGTGGAGTGGCGCCTGTGGGCGGAGGCAGCGTGCAGAGCTGCCTGGTTGTGCCTCCGCCTAGGACCCAAAGAGAGATATCACCGCTTCCCCAGAGCTGCCTGAGGTCAGTGCTGCTGGGTGCCCATACCCTGTACCCCCTCCCACACCCCAACCCCCTGCCCCAGCCCTGAGCTCCCTCCAGCACCCAAACTCCCTCCTGGAGTCAGCACCCCAACCCCCCTCCTGCACCCCAACCCCCTGCCTTGAGCTCCCTCCTGCACCTGAACTCCCTCCTGGAATCAGCACCCTGAACCCCCTCTCACACCCCAACCCCCTGCCCCAGCCCTGAGCCCCGCCCTTGCAGCAGGGGCTGGAGCCGGAGCCGGGACCATGCACCCCTGACCCACGGCTTGTGGCAGGGGCTGCAGCAGGGGCCATATGCCCCCCTCACAGCTTCCTAGGGCTGTGCGCCCCCCCTCCCCCATGGCTCCAGTGGGGCCTGTGAGCCTGTGGCTGCCCCCCCCCCCATGTGTCCCAATATTTTACTCTTGCGATCTGGTCACCCTAAGAGCAGCAGCCGGTGGAAACAAGAGCAACAGCAACTGGCCCCTTTACTGGTAGCTGGAGGATGATGGGCCGTGGGGGAAGAGCCCCCTAGCGCAGCAGCAGCATGTGTGACACCCCGTTGGGTCCCCACAGCCAGGGGGCGAATGGAAGGGAATGGAGAGGCACAGCGGGGGGCAGAGAAGGCAATGGGGGTACCCAGCCTAGCCAGAGAGCAGCGCTAAGGCTCAAATGGGCAACACCACCCGGCCCCAGACCCCAACTGCCAAACTGCATTGGGACCCAGCCAGGAGTAGCTGGTAAAGCAGTGAGATTTCACATGCACCCCCCTCACCCCACACCCCCCACACACACACTCTGCAGCGCCTTGGGGACAGATAGACATGGGGCAGGCAAGGCATGCAGCAAAGGATCGTGGGATACCTGAGAGACAGGATCAAGGAGATGGAGGGAAAGGAGATTATGCTACAAGGGGAAAGGATAAAAGAAACCAGTGTTAACAGAGCGCAGGGAAGGAGGTTGTGCGGGAGAGAGGGTTAGTCCAGACCTGCACATGGGATGGATGGAAGGTGAAACCCATCGAGGGCATGGGGCTCAAACCCACACCAGAGCAGCACAGAGCAGGGGGAGCGGAGCTCAGCAGCAGTCTGGCCCAGCCCCTTGGGGAGACTGGAAACAGATACTCCCAGAAGATAAAGGGCACAGATTATAACAGGTGGCAGGGACAGATGGGGTAAAAAACAACAGGAGTCCTGACTCTGGTCCTGCTGCTCTAACAACTGTACCCGACTCCCCTCCCAGAGCTGGGATAGAAACCAAGAGTCCTGGCTCCCAGCCCCCCCCTGCTCTAACCCACCAGGCCCCACTTCCCTCCCAAAGCCAGGATAGAACTCAGGAGTCCTGACGTCTAGCCTGCCGTTCTAACCACTAGACCCCACTCCCCTCCCAGATCTTGAATAGAACCCAGGAGTCCGGGCTCCCAGCCCCCCTGCTCTAACCACTGCAACCCACTCCCCTCCCAGAGCCGGGAGAGAACCCAGGTGTCCTGGCTCCCAGCACCACCTCCCGCTCTAACCACCAGCCCCCACTCCCCTCCCAGAGCCAGGGACAGAACCCAGGAGTCCTGGCTCCCAGCCCCCCTGCTCTAACCACTAGACAGCTTCCTGACCAATTTTCTAACCCAGATCCCCCTCCCCAAAAGAAAAGCACACCCCAGGGCTCCATCCCAAGATATTTACCAGCATATCTCCCGCCCGACTGTTGCCATGGGATTGGGCCGGGGGGGGGGAGGGGTCTTACCCTGCAGAGCAGAGCAGGGCGGGTTCCATGCACAGCTGGGGGGGACGCAGGGCACCCCCCCACATATCTGGCTGTCCCAGCCCCGGTTGAGGTAATAGGTGCAGGTCAGGCACTGCCTGTCGCCATACCCCTGCCCGTTCCCAGGGTAACACGCCACCATGGCCTGGGGGGGCAGGAACAGAGACCCCGACCTGCTGACGCTCCCCTCCTGGGGGGGGCAGGAATTGGGTTATGCAGACAAAACTACCCAGGGTTGTTTTGGGGGGGGGGGGAGAGCGAGGGGGGCTGGGAGCCAGGACTCCTGGGTTCTCTCCCGGCTCTGGGAGGGGAGTGGGGTCTAGTGGTTAGAGCGGGAGGGGGTGCTGGGAGCCAGGACACCTGGGTTCTCTCCCGGCTCTGGGAGGGGGGGGGGTTGCAGTGGTTAGAGCAGGGGGGCTGGGAGCCCGGACTCCTGGGTTCTATTCAAGATCTGGGAGGGGAGTGGGGTCTAGTGGTTAGAGCGGGAGGGGGTGCTGGGAGCCAGGACACCTGGGTTCTCTCCCGGCTCTGGGAGGGGAGTGGGTTGCAGTGGTTAGAGCAGGGGGGCTGGGAGCCCGGACTCCTGGGTTCTATTCAAGATCTGGGAGGGGAGTGGGGTCTAGTGGTTAGAGCGGGAGGGGGTGC